AAATTATATATGTATATCAGTATATGTATGTGCATATATATGTGCATATATATATATATTCATAAATAAAAATAAATATATCTATACATATATATATATATATATATACATATATGCATATACACATACGTACATATATATATATATATATATATATATATATATATAAATAGGAATGAATAAATTGATTTTCATTTCTTGTTTATTTTTTATATATTTATTTTATTTTTTAAATAATTTGCTACTTTTATATGGCTGATGACCACGTGATAATTATGTAAGAATACGGACACATATATACTATAATACTCCATAGTCCATACTTCTTTTATATATGAAGTGTTCTCTCACGGAATTAAAATAGTAAATTCATATGCAATCAGATATGCATATTTCGAGTTTCGACACAAACAACTCTCAGGATGATCCTAGAGACAACTCGCAAGTAAACTCCTATCCTCCTAACTGCGGCCTGCAATTTTAAAAACAAATATAAAGAGTCAAATAAATGGCTCTCATCCATTCCATTTCAATTTATTTTAAAAGATCCTTACCTCGTGAGTTTCATTCAATATAGAAAATAATTATCACAAACCCATTTTAGAGCAGAAGCATAAGTTTGAAGGTATCCATGAAAAAAAGAAAAAGAAAACAATACATAAATTTGGTGTACTGTTTCAATTACCGGCAGATTAATATGACATGTACATACATGGACAACAAAATTTAATTTGGAATATACATAACACGGAGGCAGATTATAGAAAGAATTTCGTGTACATCCAAACTTTGAAACAAGAGATTTAGAAAGTACCATTTTCATTTGGAAGGGGCTGGCCTGCAAAAAATGGGTCGATCCTTCTGCTTAATCCTCCGTTTTGTCATCACTTGGTACTCCACCGATGGTTCATCAGGATTCTCCTTGGCCAAAATGGTGATGTACGATTTCACTTTAAATCCCCACGCCATGTTCACTCTAACCACTCTCTCAAGCGTCACATCGGTTCCCTGCCATTACCATTCAATCACCAATCAAGCAATAAATAATAAGACAGATTGGTCAACGAAATAAATCTGACAGAAACACTTACATTGATCTTGTTGTACATTTGCAGAGCCTCCTTTGACAAATCTGCAGCGTGCTGTCGTTCGGTTTTCCCTGGCTTTGCATAATCAGTGTCCAGATCTGCATCAGGGTATGGAAAGATTCCTCCAATTTGTCCCGGAAAAATGTTTTCTGGGTCAATGTAAAATCCCTAACCACGCACGAAAAGAACAAAAATTGATAAGGAACCCAAGGAACGGATAAGATTGAAGTTCCAAGTGCAAACTCAAATACCCTGTGTTCGAAATACTGCTTAATATATGCACGGTACTTCTGACTAGACTCCTCGTCGGAGAATACGTCTTCAGGAGGAGACTCGTACTGGAGATCATCGAAGCTATCGTACCCCCATTCCCATTTATGGGAATCGTCGACTTTGTTTTCCGTCGGAGAAGAAGATCCAGACTCCGCCGTGAGTTCGTCCGATGAAGAACCTCCTTCCCCGATCTCGCCATCACCGCTGCTTTCACTGCCACCGGATTCATCTCCGCTGCTTTCGCCTTGGGCATCCGCCTTGCGCTTTCCAAGAGATGAGCTGATCGCCTCCCCGGGAGCCTCCATCATGTCGTGTTCGGTCTCCATCGTCGTCTTCAACTCAACTGATTCGGGGAACATTGGAAAGAGGAAACCCTAATTACACCGTTCTTCCCAATTTATTTGGTAAAGTTACGATCCCTAGGGGCTAAACCCCCTATATATAGTTTTATCCACCGCCAAGAGGCTAATTACGATTATGCCCTCCTTATTTCGTTTATATTTTTTTCCAGTATATACAATTATTCTCTTCTTTCACGGTTAAGGCTGAGATGAAGGTGGCAACATTTAGTTTAGAAATACCGAAGTACCCATTTGTTAAATCCGGTTTGACGATTATCATCATATTTTTTTATAACAGTTTTCCATAAATTTCGGATTAGAGTCAAAGCAAAATAAAATATCAATTGATATTATTACAAATAAATATAGGATAAATTGAGTTGATTTTTGGGTGTGTGACAATGGTTTATTGAACACGTCGCCTCCTCCATCATGTCGTCGCCCCCAACTCTATTGATATTTGGGGGAAATTTTGGAACGACAAAACCCTAGAAGCATCTATTTTTATTTTTATTTCTCGCCAAGAGCCTATTTACAATTGTGCCATCCGGTTTCTTTTAAAAAAAAATTTCGAAATCAGTAATATTATAAATGACTAACAAAAAAAGGCTTTCCAAACTTTTCATACCTTAGAAGCAGCAGCACAATACCCAATACATAATATACCCTAGGCATGAAGCGTTCATCAAATCCAATTTCCCAGACAGAACAATAACTGAGAAAGTAAGAAACTTCACGCATGATCCCAGATGGTCTCGCGCGTAACATCAGTGCATTCCTGAAAAAAAAATGATAACAAAGAGTTAAACGGCTCGCACCAAACCAAAATCACGCATACCCATCTCAAATAACTTCAAAAAACTTAACCAATGTAGAATGCACATACATGGGCAACGAGATTTGGATCAGGCTTTAAACAAAAAGCAATTCAAATACTTGGAGGCACACTTATAGATACTTAGATAGAGTTTCATGTCTTTGTAATTACCACATGACTCTAACCACTTATGAAGTTCAAGACTTTCCACACATGGCAGGAATCAAAACATAGAAAGTATACATACCTTTTGACCTGGAGGGGGCTGGCCTGCAAAAAACAGGTTGATACCCTTCCATAACCCACCTCCGTCGCACTTTCACTTGGTACTCAACTGGTGGTTCACTGGGATCCCCCTTGGCCAGTATAGTTAAGTATATCTTAAATAAGGATCTGTTCATCCTAACCACCTTGTCAAATGTCACATCGGTTCCCTGTCAAACAATAAAAAGAAATTGACAATGATTGGCTGGGATGTTATATATTAATTATATGTATCATGCGCTTACATTGATCTGGTTGTACATCTGGATAGCCTCTTTTGCCAGATCTCCCATGTGTTGCCCCATGGTTTTGCCTGACTTTAAGACTTCGTCCAGGCTCTTATCAGAGCATGGGACGACTCCTCCGATTTGTCCATCCGGGATGTTTTCTCGGTCAATGTAGAAACCCTAACCAACCACGAGAACGACAGAAACCCGATAAGAGACAATGGGATGGCTCAACTTTAATTTGTACAAAACGATTCCAGATTACAGAACAATACCTTGTACTCAAGATACTGCCTCGTATATCTGCATGATTTCTGATAAGATTCGTCGTCGGAGTACAAGTAATTCCTAGGTGTTGTGTATTTGTGGCCGTCGAAGCTGTCGTACCCCCATTCCAATTCCCTGGAATCGTCGTCTTCGGAGTGCTCCGCCATGGCTTCTGCAGGAGGAGAAGATCCAGATACGGCAGATGAAGAACCTCCTTTCTCGATCACACCCTCTCCGCTGCGTTGGCTGCCACCGGATTCCTCCAGGCCTTGGGTCTCCGCCTTGCGCTTTCCCAAAGATGAACAAATAGCCTCTGCGGGAGCCTCCATCAAGTCATGTTCGGTCTCCATCGTCGTATCCGACTCAACTGATTTGGGGGAAATCGGCAGGAGAAAACCCTAGATGCACTTTTCGACCCGATTTAGAGCTTTTTGGAAAAATATTCAAATCTATTTGTTTTATTTATAACATGTGATTTGATTTGAGTTGTTTTCGAATCTGGATCGATCACTCTTTACCCTAAACCCATTTATTAGTTGAGCCAACCCTTCCTGGCATGGCATGAAAACTATTTGTTATTCAATATATCAGCAACCACTGACTTGTTCTGTTGCATCTTTTAATCCCAAAATATTATTTATTAGATCTGTAGACTGAATTTTAATATGTTAATTTATCTTTGTTTAGTTTATTGATGTTGTTAAAAAATAAAACTTGGTTCAAAATTTGGAATAAACGTCTAAACCCCAAAAGTAGCATCATCATTAGACCATGCTCCCATTATAGTTTTTAATGTTCACACCATCCATTTTTATTTATATTGCATATTTGTATTCTTCTTAATCGTGAAGTGTGTGTATGTATATAAATATATACACGTCACAATATATATATATATATATATATGACACGTAGCGTCGACTGTCTATTGTATTGCCGTTTGAGGCGCAAGGGTAAATGTGTAATTTTACAAGAGGCGGGAGAGCTCAAGACTCAAGTGACGAGCAACACGCATATTTTCACCGTCAATTGATTCAAAGCCAACATTTGAAAATTTTTCGCCCCTCTTCCTCCGCCTCCTCTTTCCGAAGCTTTCTACAGGAAAACCTTGTGGTAAGAAAATGGAAATACGCTATTATACATACACACATGTGACATGTGCCTATATGTTGTGCGCTTCTGTTCATGTTCATGTTGATAGAGATCAGCGTTGCGATCGATGTCAGTCCTCCTTCTGGTTCTCTGTTTCTGTTCCTCCGTATAGTCGATGGTTGATTCGGTGAATATACATATGCTTTCTTATTTCCTCTGCGAAAATGGAAGCTCGATCGATAGCTTAGGAGTGAAAAATTTAAAGAGGGAATTCTCTCTCTCCCTCTTTCTGGGCTCTCGTAGATTCTGTTCATGTAAAAGAAATTTTGTTGAACTGTTCTTGTAAATTTCACTCGCGGGATGGGAAAAAATCATCTACTGAAGGTGATTCTGTTGCAGAGATAGCGCGTGTAGTTTTCTTGTCCGTTAGTTTGTCTTCATTCGCCCAGTCAGCTTTGCATGCATATGCATTCATAAGTTTATTTTGTTTATGGTAAATATATGATTTCTCGATTTCAATTAGGCTTTTCTCCTGCTCGATATATGATAGTTAATTAAGGAAATCTTATGATGAGTGAGAAAATATACATATGATTTAACAAAAAAAAAGTTCATCGTTTTGAACTTAGCTGTGTCTTCCGTTTTCTGTACTTTTTCTGTTGTCCCCCAAAATGGAAGCTCGCAATTTACCGGAGCTTATAATCAAGGGTATCTCTCTCTCTCTCTCTCTTTCTGGACACGATCATCGCCCTAGTGACGAACACTATAGCGCTTGCATGTGTGTGTTTATATTCTGTATGTATCCATTTTTTTTCAAGATCATATCTTTTTAATTTTGTGTATACGGTAACTAAAATCTTGTTTTTATCATTGATACGTAGAAATGGATCAAGGAACAGGTATCGGAGTAGGTAAACCAAAAAGACCCAAGGGTCGGAACCAAATCAAGCAGACACACAAAGCAGATAAAGAACGAATTGGAGTTGAACAAACTAGCAATGGAGAGCACGATTTCACTCATATCCAAAATGGGGTAAAATTATGATATATATATATATATATATATATAACGTGTATATTTTTTGCATTTTGATTTTGATATATATATATTTATATAGGAATTTGGTGATAACTCGAAACTTACAAGAGATTGGAGAAAAATATGTGGACTTCTAGACGTTGCTGTTGAGGAACAAGAAGGAGGTACGTTTGCTACAAAATAATTAGAATTCTAATAAATTTAGTTTTTTAACTAATTATTCTGGTGCAGATACATGCTGGGCTGTAGTATTATCCCTACTCCTAGAAGCCTTGGTGAATAAAGGAAAATCACCACAGCTACGTTTGAGGTTCGACACCAAGCAATTCATTGAGGACTGTAGAGCTAAAGATAGTGATAGGATTGGCCGTATAAGAACGGGCGCAAAGTATATCCGCGCAACGGGGTTACCTAAAAAAGACGTGAGGTCTGGGGCGGTAAGTATATCTAATTTTATATGTTAATTAATGTATTGGTATAATGTCTGTTATTTTTAATTTTCAGTCAAAGCACATGGTGAAGAGGCATCTTCTTGTTAAAGAAGATGCTAACGGAGATTTCATCAAACAACTATTGGAGAAAGGGCCGGTGGCATTGATTCTCAGTGTGAGCCGAGAATTCGAGGATCTTAAAACGAAGGTTAGTAAACAAAAAAACATCTGTACATTAATCATATGATGGCATTGTTAAATATTAAAATTTGCAGGAAATTTGTGACATACCACCTTTGGAGCTAAAGAAGTTGACGCATGCGGTTTTGGTAGTCGGCTACGGATACACAGAAGACGGGAAATTATTTTTTCTCGTTAGAAATTCATGGGGAAAAACCTGGTCTCATAAAGGATACGGTAGAATTTCCATTAATCATAACTATATAATCGTTTACGACGGTGAAGAAAATATAGGTGGGTTTACATTTATATTTATTGTTACGTTGTGTTGATAACTTTTTTTAGAGTAGAAATAACATTTTTTTTTATTTTGATGCAGTATGAACAAGAAAGAATCGGGTAGAACTCATGAGGCCAAAAAACAGGATTGTTTGATCATTTTCATGTTAATGAAAAAATATCAATTTGACACTAGAAACGAAATCTATTGTCAAAGTTCTGGATAGCGTGTCTAAAAATGGGATATTATCCGATGACACAGAACAAACTTCTTTTTTTTTTAAAAAAAATGCAGTCATAAAACAAATTGGATCCGAAAAAAGTACTCTAAGCTATAATGGCATACAATAATACGATTATATGAATTTACTTATATAGATTGAAGACGTGGTTACGTGATATTAATTTGACCATATTTATGTGATAGATTTGTGTTTGACCGCGCCCACCAAGTCATTTACCATATCAGAAAAAATTTAAAATCCCTAATAAAAAAAGAAAATTTTTAAAATCAAAATAAATATATCTATACATATATATATACATATATGCATATACACATACGTACATATACATACACAAATATATATATATATATATAAATAGGAATGAATAAATTTATTTTCATTTCTTGTTTATTTTTTATATATTTATTTTATTTTTTAAATAATTTGCTACTTTTATATGGCTGATGACCACGTGATAATTATGTAAGAATACGGACACATATATACAATAATATTCCATACTTCTTTATATATGAAAGTGTTCTCACACGGAATTAAAATAGTAAATTCATATGCAATCAGATATGCATATTTCGAGTTTCGACACAAACAACTCTCAGGATGGTCCTAAGAGACAACTCGCACGTAAACTCCTATCCTCCTAACTGCAGCCTGCAATTTTGAAAACAAATATAAGGAGTCAAATAAATGGCTCTCATCCATTCCATTTCAATTTATTTTAAAAGATCCTTACCTCGTGAGTTTCATTCAATATAGAAAATAATTATCACAAACCCATTTTAGAGCAGAAGCATAAGTTTGAAGGTATCCATGAAAAAAAGAAAAAAAAAACAATACATAAATTTGGTGTACTGTTGCAAGAAATTATCTTGCCGGCAGATTAATTAATATGACATGTGCATACATGGACAACAAAATTTAATTTGGAATACACATGACACGGAGGCAGATTATAGATAGAATTCCGTGTACATTCAAACTTTGAAACAAGAGATTTAGAAAGTACCATTTTCATTTGGAAGGGGCTGGCCTGCAAAAAATGGGTCGATCCTTCTGCTTAATCCTCCGTTTTGTCATCACTTGGTACTCCACCGATGGTTCATCAGGATTCTCCTTGGCCAAAATGGTGATGTACGATTTCACTTTAAATCCCCATGCCATGTTCACTCTAACTACTTTCTCAAGCGTCACATCGGTTCCCTGCCATTACCATTCAATCACCAATCAAGCAATAAATAATAAGACAGATTGGTCAACGAAATAAAATCTGACAGAAACACTTACGTTGATCTTGTTGTACATTTGTAGAGCCTCCTTTGACAAATCTGCAGCGTGCTGACGTTCGGTTTTCCCTGGCTTTGCATAATCAGTGTCCAGATCTGCATCAGGGTATGGAAAGATTCCTCCGATTTGTCCCGGAAAAATGTTTTCTGGGTCAATGTAAAATCCCTAACCACGCACGAAAAGAACAAAAATTGATAAGGAACCCAAGGAACGGATAAGATTGAAGTTCCAAGTGCAAACTCAAATACCCTGTGTTCGAAATACTGCTTAATATATGCACGGTACTTCTGACTAGACTCCTCGTCGGAGAATACGTCTTCAGGAGGAGACTCGTACTGGAGATCATCGAAGCTATCGTACCCCCATTCCCATTTATGGGAATCGTCGACTTTGTTTTCCGTTGGGGAAGAAGGTCCAGACTCCGCCGTGAGTTCGTCCGATGAAGAATCTCCTTCCCCGATCTCGCCATCTCCGCTGCTTTCGCTGCCACCGGATTCATCTCCGCTGCTTTCGCCTTGGGCCTCCGCCTTGCGCTTTCCAAGAGATGAGCTGATAGCCTCCCCGGGAGCCTCCATCATGTCGTGTTCGGTCTCCATCGTCGTCTTCAACTCAACTGATTCGGGGAACATTGGAAAGAGGAAACCCTAATTGCACCTTTCGTCCCAATTTATTTGATAAAGTTACGATCCCTAGGGGCTAAACCCCCTATATATAGTTTTATCCACCGCCAAGAGGCTAATTACGATTATGCCCTCCTTATTTCGTTTATATTTTTTTTTTCCAGTATATACAATTATTCTCTTCTTTCACGGTTAAGGCTGAGATGAAGGTGGCAACATTTAGTTTAGAAATACCGAAGTACCCATTTGTTAAATCCGGTTTGACGATTATCATCATATTTTTTTATAACAGTTTTCCATAAATTTCGGATTAGAGTCAAAGCAAAATAAAATATCAATTGATATTATTACAAATAAATATAGGATAAATTGAGTGGATTTTTGGGTGTGTGACAATGGTTTATTGAACACGTCGCCTCCTCCATCATGTCGTCGCCCCCAACTCTATTGATATTTGGGGGAAATTTTGGAACGACAAAACCCTAGAAGCATCTATTTTTATTTTTATTTCTCCGCCAAGAGCCTATTTACAATTGCGCCATCCTGTTTCTTTTATTTATTTTTTTCTAAATCAGTAATATTATAAATGAACCCTAGGCATGAAGCGTTCATCAAATCCAAGTTCCCATACAGAACAACATGAGAAAGTAAGAAACTTCACGCATGATTCCAGATGGTGTCGTAACATCAGTACATTCCTGAAAAAAAAATGATAACAAAGAGTTAAATGGCTCGCACCAAACCAAAATCACTCGTACCCATCTCAATCAAACAACTGCAAAAAACTTAACCAATGTAGAATGTACATACATGGGCAACGAGAGATTTGAACAAAAAAACTTCAAACACATGGAGGCGGACTTATAGATTCGTAGATAGAGAGTTTCATGTCTTTCCGGTTACACCACATGGCTCTAACCGTACTTGTGAAGTTCAAGACTTTCCACACATGGCAGAAATCAAAACTTAGAAAGTATATATATACCTTTCTTCGACTTGGAGGGGGCTGGCCTGCAAAAAAACAGGTTGGTACCCATCCATAACCCACCTCCGTCGCACTTTCACTTGGTACTCCACTGGTGGTTCAAAAATTTCATGACTTCCAAATGGAAAAAAATCAGAACTTTAAAGTACCTTTTGACTTGGAAGGGGCTGGCCTGCAAAAAATGGGTAGGTCATTTTCCATAATCCTCCGTTTTGCCATCACTTGGTACTCAACTGATGGTTCATCACGTTTCTCCTTGGCCAAAATGGTGATATATGATTTAACTTTACTGCCCCATGCCATGTTCACCCTAACAACTTTCTCGAACGTCACATCGGTTCCCTACCATTACCATTCAATCACCAATCAAGCAAACAATGACAAGGCATGAAATAAAATCTGAGACAAAACACTTACATTAATCTTGTTGTATATCTGTAGAGCCTCCTTTGACAAATCTGCAGCGTGCTCACGTTCGGTTTTCCCTGGCTTTACATAATCAGTGTCCAGATCTGCATCAGGGTATGGAAAGATTCCTCCGACTTGTCCCGTAAATATATTTTTTCGGTCAATGTAAAATCCCTAACCGCGAAAAGAACAAAAACTGATAAGTAACCTAAGCAATTTAAAGAGCAGATCATAAGATTCAGGTCCTAAGTGCAAACTCAAATACCCTAAGCAATGTAAGGAACAGATAAGATTGAAGTTCTAAATGCAAACTCAAATACACTGTGCTCGAAATATTGCCTCATATATGCACAGTATTTCCGATTGGATTCGTCGTCGGAAAAAATGTCATCGCGAGGAGACTCGTACTGGAGATCATCGAAGCTATCGTACCCCCATTCCCATTTATGGGAATCGTCAAGCTCCTCGTCGGATTCTGTCGTAGAAGAAGATCCAGACACAGTGGATGCCTCCGTGATTTCGGCCGATGCAGAACCTCCTTTCTTGATCTTGCCCTCTCCGCTGCCACCGGAATCCTCCACGTCTTGGATCTCCGCCTTGCGCTTTCCAGGAGATGAACACATAATCGGAGCCTCCGTCATGTCGTGTTCGGTGGAAAAGGTCTCCATGATTTGGGGAAAATCGGAACGAGATAACCCTAGATTCACCTTTCGACCCAATTTAGGGCTCCGACGAGCTATTTGATAAAGTTACGATCCCGAGGGCACAAATCCACTATTTATAGTTTTTATTGCAGCCGCCAAGCATGATAAAAAAAAATTTCTCCTCTTAAGAACTCAACGACAGGGAATCACTCGGCTGTTCAAGAACATTCTGTTTTTGGTGAAAGGGTCGGAACAGTACGAAACTCGAATTGATAGCACTAATTAGAAAGTGCAAAGTGTGTTCCAACACAACCCGCCAATGTTGAAATCATATTGCGTGTAAATCACGGAACAACGTCCAACAAGATCCATAAAGAAACTCTTATTTTACTCAACAGTTCAAATATATTCTTCAATGAGGAAAGTATGCAAAAAAAAAATAAAAAAAAAAATTCAATGTAACCTGTCCTTTGACTCTTTCTGCTACCATTACTCAACATGGATCTAAAGACTCCCATGTCGGATTTTTGAAGGGAAAAAGATTATCGGTAATAAGCCATGTGCCTGGAGGACATACCAAATGGACTTTGGCTTGTGTTCTGCGCAGGTTTCTTCTTTTTCTTGTTCTCATCTTTGGTCTCTGAACGGAGCCAATCCTCAACCACTGAAAGCAGATTGGCCGATGTTTTCAGCTCTTCGATCTCCTTTGTCTCGGCAGAGCGCTTCAGCTCGCCGTCATGAACGTACGCAAGATGTGTGGCCCATGTCTCCAGTCCGTCGAAGATGTGAGTGGCATATACAATTGTAGCTCCCCTCTATATATCAGTCAAGGTGAATGTGTATATATATCTGGTTATATTATTTTCATGTGGGTAAGAGCTTAAACCCCAAGCCTATATGATATATTCCATTAATAGCTTACTGGATCATGTATACATGGATATGGGATAGGTGGATTACCTGCTCACATTCTTCTTTGAAGAATTCCAGCAAATCCATTCTAGCAACTACATCAAGGTCAACTGTAACCTCATCCAATAACAATACCTGTGAACAGAACACGGAAGGTATTATTGACTGTGAGACAAGAGATTGCTGACAGAAAGCTTAAAGGCTCATTAGCTCAAAGCAACATAATCCACAGCGATCATGTGAAGACTGTCTTTGGATATGTTACCTTGAATGGATGCAAAAGACCCATGCAGATTTGCACGCGACGCCTCTGCCCATCAGAGACCTTATGCATACGCCATTGAAGATCGATGTCAAGAAGCTCAATCAACTTTTCCCTTCTCGCAGGATCAATCCCTTCAACTGTTATAGTAACAAGAATTAAAGCCTCGTGAGCGAATGCCCGTAAAACAAAGGGAAATGACCCAATTCTAGCGCCCTCTCCTTCCGCTTGACAGACAGAAATCAAACGCAGACAAACATCACGGTAGGGGAAAGAATACCAACCTCCAAATATCATATGTTCAGCCGAGAAGTCTCCCTGGAGAGGAACCTCGCCCTGACATGTAGCAAAACCAGAGAAGTTAAGCAACACCAAGAGCTATCAGCGAAGCAACATAGATCATGTGCTTCTAGTGGCTTTCTAATTATGTATAACATAGAGTCTCCCTTGTAATCTCATGCAAAAATTTCTAATGGCTTCCTAACTATCTATCAGAAATTATAGATTCGGCGTGGTTTTCCAAGGCAATCATTTCCGACACTGGAGAAGTACGAGGCGACATTTAGAAAGAACAAGCTCGATACTCACAGCAGAACCAACGGTTTTGCTCCATGATCCTCCAAGATAAGCCAAGTCACCACTGCAGACGAGCTTAGTATCGTGAAAAGCTGAACGGTTCAGAACTTGTACAACGTTCTTCCCTCCGACCATATGCTTTCCTGCGAGAATCTTCAATAGCGTTGTCTTCCCTACAAAATGTCACTAGAATTTGCATAACTGTTCCATCAAAACGTGACTGTGCATTGGTCTCGAAGATGTTCATTAGAATAGAACCAAAGAATTGAACCACTAAGCAGAACTAAACCAAAATTACACGGAATTCTTATCGAAGTAGTTTTCAAAAGTGAATTTCCATTGTTAATCGCACCCAACGGATCAGGAAAAGGGTATTCCTAATTTAACCATAGATTTCCTAAATTGCCAAACAAAGCAAGTCGATTTCGAGCTTGATCGAACCGGAATCGCACCGACTGACATACATACATCACATATCCAATTCCAAATCTCCGAATGACGAATCGCCGACAAAAACTAGAACAAACCAACATGTGAAGGGAAAG